CGGTAGCACTCGTTTGCCGGCTGTGTTTTCGAAAATTCTCCTTGAAATGCGGTGGCCTAACTTGTGTGAAAATTCGGCCACAACTCCAATTTTTTAATGATAAAATTAGAAATTAGAAACATTCAGAAAACATCCAGAAGACGTTCCAAAATCAGCGATCTCGTATTAAGCGACAACTTCTCGAATTCCGCGGTCTTTCTCAACTTTTTAGCCTTCTCCGGCGAATTCATCTCACTGATACACTTTGCCAAAAGCTTCGACAATGCATATTCATCAGCAAACCATAGCATTTTTTCGTATGCAATTTTTGAGATGTGGAGAAGGTGATATTCAACGATTCCAACAACTGATGACACTTGAAAACGTCGAGCCATTTCGAGAAGCTTCTCGACAGTTTGATCTGCAAATTTTCTGGAATTTTTTATCCTGGAAATCGATATTCTTACCATTTGGAAACTGTGGATTCGGGTAGAAAGTAGCAAGAAGAAGCCCAAAATCTTCATAGGAAACTTCCTTGATTTCGATTTCTTTCATTTGTCCTTCTTTGAAATTCGCAGAGAAAAGAGTGGAGAAAAAGTCGGAGTGGATAGAAAGGAACTGGAAAAAGTAGAATTTGGAAATTTTCTAGATTTCTGAGACTTACCGATTTGTTAACATTCAGCTTCTTTCCATCGACAACAAGAACCACATCTGTTTTATCGGAAGCCACAAACATTTTTTCATAAGACATCTTCTCGGGTGGAGACGATTCAGCGTAGTGAGCAGTGAGATTGTACTCAAAACTAACCGGGTAGGAATTAAGAGTATTACGAGTTAAGAGTATTCCAATTGCTGCCAAAACTGAATGGTTCGTGTCAGTCCAATCAATATCTACTCTATGTGGAAGCCAATAAACAGAACTGACTATCAAATGTCCAACAAGACGATGAGCTCCTTGGTTTTTCAAATCTTTCCAATCAATGTTCCATGTGAAATTGGCTCTAGAATAAGTATCGATACCGCCACTCCATGTACTGGAAATTTGAATAGAATATTATCGAAATTATGTTATTTTACTTACTGTTTGATGCCATCTTTTTCACCTGATTCCAACACGATCGCGGGACCAGTATTGTCAACTTTCTTCTGTCCACTTTTGTAAGAAATCACTTTCCTTGTCATCGTTCGATCGAGGTCGTGGTTTATCTGGAAAAAAAACAGTTTTGTTGACGAAAGCTCCATCTTTCGCTCGATGAATGGCGAAATCGGGCCAAAAACATAAACCTTTGCTCATTTTCAGCGAAAAATGTTTAAAAATCAAGAATAGTTGAAACGGGTGCAACAGTAACCCAAGCGCGGCGAGACCCGCAATCGGTGTCGATTTACGGGGTCGATTTAAAGGGGGACTCCGGTCATTTTTTTATTGCATCAAAATGTGCTAAAATGTATCTATTTTCAGAATATTTTTGCGAAAAAATTCGAAATAAATCCGAAATCCCCAAAAACGCCGTTGAAAAGGAAAAAAAATTCAAAAAAAGATGCCGCCGAGGCTCCACGTACCATCTATCGCCGGCTCGCCATGAAGCGTCTCCAGAAAGTTCTGAAAATCGTCGGCGCGAATTTCGGAAAGTTCGATTTCGGCTTTTTCGGATTCCTCGAATTTTCCAAAAAACATCGATTGGAAATATGTCGATTGGGTGGCGAGAAGCTGCAAAATTCCAGATTTTTAGCCAAATTTTCAGCAAAAAAATCGATTTTCTGGGGTAAAAAAATTCTAGGTTAACTTTTTCTGGAATTTTCAGATACTTAGCCCATTTTTCGGCTAAAATCGATTTTCACAACAAAAAAACTAGCATATATAATTTTTTTTTTCTGAAAAAAATGGTTATTTTTGGCCAATTTTAATCGAAAAAACCACAATTTTTCTGACTAGAAAGCAGCTGAAAGTCTGAAAATTCCAGAAAAAAAATGACTCAAAAATCTGAAAAATAGCTCTTTTTCAATAGATATTTTAGACTCAAATTCAAAATCTCAGCTCATTTTTAAACAAAAAATGAGATTTTGAGCTG